GCTGGAGGACTTGTTTCTCTGACACCTCTTAGAGCTAGCAGCTTTCTCATCACTGTTGTGTGTCTTTCCTGCCTGGGTCAGCAGGTGGTCAGTGAGAGCTTATTGACTGGATGCGAATGAGTGACTGAAAATGTGGGAACCATTTCTGTGGTCCTCTGGGTCCTGTGGTATGTGTTTGTGATCACTTGATAATTCTGGAGTATTGGAAGGAAGAAATGCTAGATTATTTTTTATTACAATCTAGTAAAAATAATAATTTTATTCTTGAAAGTAATGGCAAAATTTCCATTCAGAATCACTGTATATTGGCTTAATCAATATTATTATTATACATGTTGTCATCAACAAATAATTTTTCCTTTCTTGTTTCTTATATATTTTGCATTTCCCCCCTTGATTCTGCTTCCCACCCTTTGCCATTTCTCATCCTCCTCCCACAGTGTCTCTGATATCTATAGTTGCTTTTCATGCCCCTTCCCCCACCCACATTTTATTTATGTACAAAAAAATCTTAATTAAATACTTTCAATAGTAAATTCAGCTTATATGTACATATCTGTGAGCACATGTCTGACTTTAGGCATAAAACTCAGTGAGTAGATGAACGTACTATAAAGTAACACCTAGCTGAGGCTGTATAGCATACTGTGGTCATGAAATATGTTTTTTTTTTTTATTTCAAAAAAAGCAGTTTTAGCTTAAATAAATCAAAATCATAAAATGTTAAGAGAAATTCGCTTAAGACTTAAAGCAAGGAAAAGGGTTAGGATTCTATTAAAATAGTAGGTAGATGAATCTATCAGCAGCTCAAGAGAAGACCAGAAAACTCTTAAATCTGGAAAACAAAGCATAGAAGAAAATCAGTCATGTTTTAGTCAAAAGTCGTATATTCTATTTCGCCAGTTTAGTCTCATGTAATTAATTAATCTCTCTTCTGTTGTGGTTCAGTCTTTCCATTTAAATTTCTGGAAGTTAACATTCAGTTCCGAACTTGTCGCTACCATTAAATTGGCCATTTTCTTGGTTGTTTTTTGGACTCTTATTTCTTTGTGTCTGTCTTCAGTTTTCCTGGTATAGTACTCCCTCTTGAACTTCTTGGAGAGCTGGACTGGTGTTGGTCAATTCTTTCAGGTTTTGTTTATCCAATAATGTTTTTGTCTTCTCATATGAAAGATAATCTTGCCAGTATAGAATTCTTGGTTGAAATTGTTTTTCACTCAACACTTCAAATTTTCCCATTCTTTCCTTGCTCACATTGTTTCTGATGGGAGGTCCACTGTTAGCCTGATGGGATATCCTTGGTAAGTAACTTGACGTTTCTCTCTTGCAAATTTTAGAATCTTGTCCTTGTCTGTGGTTTTGGTCAATCTGGCTGTGATGTGCCTTAGAGAAGATCTTCTTGGGCTGATTCTATGTGGGATCATTCATATTTCTTGGGTCTAGATATTTGAATGCCTCTCTAGGTTAGGAAAATTTTCTTCTAGGATTTCATGAGTAGATTATCAATGCCCTGATTAGTTTCTTCACCTTCCAGATACCAATTATGTGGATATTTGGACGTTTAATGGTATCTAATGTTTCTCGTATATTATTTTTATCTTGTTAGGTTATTTTCTTAGTCTTCTTGGTGAATTTTTCTAGGAGAGAGGTTCTGTCTTCTACATCTGAGATTCAATCTTCTGCATGATCTAATCTGCTTTTAAAACTTTCAAGGGCGGTTTTGATTTCCTGTATTACAGCCTTCACCTCTGACAGTTCCGTTTGATTCTTTTTTTTTTGATTCTCTTACAACTTGTGCAAAAACTCCCTCATCTCCTGGAACTCATTGACTCTTTTCTCCTGCATCTTCTGGAGTTCATTGTCTCTCTTCTCTTGCATCTCTATTAGCTTTGTCACTACAAATACTCTATTTTCTTTATCTGACATTTCCCTGAGTTCCATTGTACTGCCTATGCATGAGGAGTTGTTCTCTTTTCTTGGAGAAGAAATGTTTTCTTGTTTATCGTATTTCTTGTGCCTCTATAGTGGTTTCTGGTCATCTGATGAATAATTATACTTATCTCCCTAATTTATTGAGGTTGTTAATCTGAGTGTTTGGAGACGTGCAGGAGGAGGTGATCTACAATCTCTCCTGCCTCTATAGTGGTTTCTGGTCATCTGATGAATAATTATACTTATCTCCCTAATTTATTGAGGTTGTTAATCTGAGTGTTTGGAGACGTGCAGGAGGAGGTGATCTACAATCTCTCCGCAGTTCCATTTTTCTCCCAGTCTGGTGGATCTTGGGGTCTGGAAGGTGAAGTCCGAAAAGAAACTCTTCGGTAGTCTTAGCCCCTGAAAGGAATTGCTCACAGCTCAAATGCAGATGACTTCTCAAAGTGCCTGCGCTTTACTCCTTCTATCAGTTTGGTGGATTTTGGGGTCTGGAGGGCGAAGTCTGAGTAGAAATTCTTTGGTTGTCTTAACCCCTGAAAGGGATTATTCACAGCTCAAGTGCCCAAAATTTGTGTCTTAGTGCAACTTTTGTTTTGTTCTCTCATTGTTTTAGTGACCTATTTAAAACAATCAAGTTATGTCATTTTATTAAAATAACAACAAGCTTTAGTGTGTTTAAAAGTGTAGTAATGCAGGGTCTGGATAGTGGCACTGTTGGACCACATGGAAAAGTCCTGGGTTCACATCCTGGGACATCCCTGAATGTGCTGTGTGTGTGTGCAGGTGCCTGTGATCTGGGCTGGCTGAGAATGGAGGTGTAGGATGATGTGAAGACCCTGCTGGGGTGCCTGTTTCTCTCTCTGTCTCTCTTTCTGGAAAAAATGAGTAAAACAATGGTGCGACAGTTAAAGATGGTCAGACAGTTAGGATATGGTTTTTAAAAAATGAGGTGGTGGCTTGTAAGAATATTGGTGTGCAAGTGATTCACTCAAATGAGTAGTGTTTTCTCAAGGCATATATTTTTGTTCAGCACTGATATGGCTATTAACATTGGTCGTAACAATGTTAATGTCATTGTTCTTGGTCAGAATTGTGTTTCTGCTGCCTAGTTATAGATGTCCTTTTCCCCCCCTCATGTTGCAGATTCGACGGAGGCGCCTTGCCCGACTAGCTGGTGGACAGACCTCCCAGCCGACTACCCCACTTACCTCTCCCCAGAGGGAGAACCCTCCAGGGCCTCCTATAGCAGCTTCAGCCCCAGGCCCCTCCCAGAGTCTTGGTCTCAATGTCCACAATATGACCCCAGCTACCTCCCCAATAGGTGCATCAGGTAAGCCTTAACTTCATAACTGGGATACATTAATATTATTCTTTTTTTTTTAAATTGACATGTACTGATTGTACACATTTGTGGGGTTCACTTAGCTTTCTATTAAGCTGATGGTTGTGATGTTTCCACAACAGATTAAAATGAAGAGGACATCAACTTTTTAAAATCCTCAAGCTGTAGTTTAGTGATTATGATCATTGCAGTATGTTTTGTTACTGTTTTTTTGTTTAGGTAATAATTTGTTGAAATGAATTGTTTTCCTTTCCATAACTTTTACATTTTTTTCAAATAGGCTCAGGTTTTATTTCTGATGACAGTAATTAAGACTGAATTTGGGGGGCTGACAGGTGGCTTGGTGATTAAGGTGCTGGACTCCCACAAGGCTCTCTCTCTCTATATATATATACACACACACACACACACACACACATATATATACACATATATAAAGAGAGAGAGAGAATATATATGCTTGAATTAAAAAAAAAATAATTGGTTTTTAAAAGTTTTATTTAACTTATTTATTTATTTAAATTTGACCAGAGAGGGACCAAGTGAGAGAGAGAGAGACAGAGAGAGAGAGAAAGTGAGAAAGCAAGCTGCCAGGTCCAGGACTCGAACCCTGGTTGGCCATGTAGGATTCCAGTGCTCTTAGCCACCATGCCTCCTGCCAGCCCCTAAATAAATAATTCTTTAAAAAAAGAAAAAAAGACTGAATTTGGTTCTGTTGATTTTATGAATCTGGTTGATGCTTTTCTGAAAATGGAAGATTGAAATAGTAGTCAAATGGTAGACCTCTAATTATGAATTTCTAAGCTTTCTTTCCATAGTGGTCAGAACTTTTTCTCTAAATTTTAAAACCTCTTGAAAAAAAAAGAAAAGAAAGAAACCTTTACATAGATAAATAGCTGTTAATGTTTGCATGCCCAAAATCCCAAGAGGGGAATGGAGAAGATGGGGTTGTGGTGTGACCATCCACCCTAGGGGGTGATTTCTTGCTTTCTGTCTGTCTGTCTCTCTGGTGAGCGTACACACTGTATAATAAAAATTGCTCTTAAAAATAAATAAAATAAAAAATGAAAATTTGCTAGAGAGAGAAAGTAAGAAAGCAAGCTGCCAGGTCCAGGACTCTAATCACAGTCGGCCATGTGGGAATCTAGTACCTTAGCCACCAAGCCACCTGCTGGCCTTAAGACTTACCTTTTTTCTAAATGATAGTATATCTTTTGGGGCCGGCAAGTGGCATGGTGGTTAAAGGCGCTGGCCTCCCACATGGCCGACCACGGTTCAAGTCCTGGATCTGGAGGCTTGCTCTCTCACTTTCCCACTCTCTTCTCCTCTCTTGCTCTGTCCCTCTCTGGTCAAAATAAAAAAATGAAATAAATGAATGAATAAATAAAAAACAAAATAATTCTTTAAAAAATAAATAAATGCACTTTTTTTTAAACAAACACAATATTATTGTCATTATAATAATTTTTACAGTTATTTATTTAATGATTTCTTGAGACTAGTTATGAGAAAGTTAAGTGCTAAGAGACCTGAATTGATCATCATATTCAATAATTTGATTTTTTTTTTAGAGGTTTTTTTCTATAGTGCGCGTGTGCTCGTCAGACAGATAGAAAGAGACAGAGAAACAGAAAGCGAGAAATCACCCCCCAGGGGGAATGGCCATGCCACAATCCCTTCTCCTCCATTCTCCTCTTGGGATCTTGGGCATGCACGCACACATGCCTGGCGTGAGTTTTAAGCCAACGGGTGTAGGACTCGAACTGCGGTCAACTACATGGGAGTCCAGCAACGTAGCCATTACACTAACTGCTGGTCCCCAGTTAATTATTTTATTTATTATTATTATTTAATTGGACCAGAAAAAGAGAGAGAGAGAGAATGAGAGAGCAAGCCACCAGGTCCAGGACTCGAACCCTGGTCAACCATGTGTGAGTCCAGTGCCTTAACCACCAAGCTGGCCTCCATTCTACAGTTAATTAATATTACTCTCTATAGCCTTTGAAATAATTTGTCTTCTTTTTTTTTTTTGGAGAGGTTTTTGCTATAGGGCACGTGCGCTCGCCAGACAGACAGAGAGAGACAGAGAGATAGAAAGCAAGAAATCACCCCCCAGAGGGGATGGTCACACCGCAATCCCTTCTCCTCTCGGGATCTTGGGCACACACTCACACGTGCCTGGTGTGAGTTTTAAGCCACTGGGTCCGGGACGCAAACCACGGTTGACTACGTGGGAGTCCAGCGACATAGCCATTACGCTAACTGCTGGTTCCCGAAATAATCTGTCTTCTTGATCCAGGATTATTTGTCAATTAAAAATATCGGTATAACCAATCCATGACATGATGACTAAGGCAGCTGAATCCCACATGGCCAGCTGTGTAGTTTGAGTGCTGGACCCAGAGGCTTTATAAACATGCCACATATGTGTGCATGTGTGCCCAAAATCCAAAAAGGAGGGAGACACGGAGAAAGGATTGCGATATGACCATTTTCTATGGCTGCTTTCTTACTTTGCTTTCATCTTTCTTTCTCTCTCTCTAGCAAGTACACATACCCCTGGCTAATACATTTTTTAAAAATGATTTGCAGTTTCTGTTACTGTAATTTCCATTAGACGTAGTGTAGACTCCTCCCCATGCATCTATGAGTGTCCATAATTCTGTTCATATAAAAGAGAGTGTTCAGGCCAAAACATCAGTATTAAAATATACCATTGCCTGAGATGTCTCCTCTGTACATCTCTTTCTTGGAAAGGTGCTAACAACACTTCTGTTGTCTGTCACACCATGGTCAGGCCATACCCAGGATGTTGGAATTTGTCCGGAAGACAGCTGGTCTCTCACTTTGTCTTACTTGCTTGGTTAAATCATGGTTACATTTTCAAGCTACTTTCAGACTCATGTACTAGAATAAGGGTAGGAAAAAACCCAGAACCACACTGTCTCATTTCAAATTGATGGTCACAAATTCAAGTGGACCCTTAGGACTGGCAGGCAACGATACCAGATTTCCCAGTTCTGCTCATCTGTTTCATGCCTGTCCTCCAGGGTGTGACATCTCGTTCTCCCTGCACTCGCTCTCAGCTAATGGTCTGGCTCCTTGTTCATTGAGAAAACAAACACAGGCCAAAGGGAACCCCTGAAGCTCCTGCCATCACATCCAGTACCTACCGGAACGTGTGCTGAGGTCGTCATGCACGAACTGTCTCTGCTCCTGTTGAAGCCTGAACCCTAGTCCCCATTTCCTCTCACCTGCTCATAGCCACCCCCCCCCCCAGCACTTTCCTTCCCTCACCCTCTTTATTAGACTTTTCATCTCACGTGGATTTTTTAGCACAGACTATGTACATTCCGTTTCTTCTCCCATCATGGGAATTTTAAAAATGGAACTCTTGATCTTATGTCCCCTGGCAGCTTCCACCCCACGTCTCTGCACCAGTTTACACCAGAACTTCTGGAATGCGGTGCCTGCCTTCTCTGTCTCCTTCTCCTGTCCTTGCAGCCTCTGCTGAGTCAACTCCAGCTGGATGATGCTTCTCGTGGTCTGCTCTGAGTCACCATCTGGTCTGACCTATCAGCCTCATTTGACATAACTTTCACTGTCTTCTCCTCCAAGCGCTCTTTTCTTTTTACTTCTAGAACAGCTTGCTCTCCTGGTTTTCATCCTGTCTGTTCCTTCTTGGTCGTTTGCGTGCTTCATTTTTATTTTCCTGACTGCTTGCTGTTCGGATGTCTGGGCTCAGTATTTAACCTCTTGTCCTCTCTGTTGTCCTCTCTCTCTGTGTTTATCCTCTTATTGATTTCATCTGGTTTTCTGGCTTTAATTATGTCTCTAATCTGATGATTCTGAAATTTGTATCTCCAGCTCAGACCTACTCCTTGAACTTCAGACTCATACTTTCAGTGACCTACTTAACGAGACTAATAAGCATTTCAAGTTGACATGTTCGAAATCAAGCTTCGATATTTCCTCATGTCTTATTTTTTCCCAGGACACCATTTCAGTAAATAACAACTATTTTTTTCTTTTAGATTTTTGCCATAGGGTGCATGTGCTCATTAGAGAGAGACAGAGATAGAAAAAGTGAGAAATTATCTCTTGGAGGGACGGCCACACCTCAGTCCCTTCTTTTCCATTCTCCTCTTGGGATTTTGGGCATGCACGCACACATGCCTGGTATGTTTTTCAAGCCACTGGGTCCAGGGTCTCGAACCATGGAGTTGGCCACGCGGAATCCAACACCTTAACCATCATGCCCCCCACTGGTCCGCAACTTATTTTTTTCTACTTGCTTAAGCCTAAAACATTATTTCTTCTCTTTATTTTGTATTTTAGATGAGGGATTGGTAAACTCTTCTTTTAAAGGGCCAGATTATAAATATTTTGACTTTGCAGGCCATGAGGTCACACTTCTTTATCTCTGCCGGGTCAAGCTAGAGGAGCCCGCTAACGTCAGCAGCCTCATTAACGTGTTATCACAACCTCACAGACTTGGGCAACTCCCCAATGATTCATGTTTGGCAGTTAGCCTCTCTACTATGAAGTCCTGGTTCTATTTTTTACCTAATCACCATTATTCGTAATCATAGACAGGTAGGTATTATTAGCCATGCTTTGCTGGGTTGAATCAAACAAACTTTTGTGATTTGCTAAATGAACAAGTTAAAAAGAACCAGAAAGCGAAAGTCCAACGTTAGCTGCTTGTACAAAGCCCCATGGTGGCACTGTGCTTGATCAGAGAGGTCGGAGCCCCCCCCCCCCCCTGGTGGTGCAGGGCTATGTGTCTGGCCTCTCCCCTCACAGCTCTCCTTGCTCCCTTATCTCCAGGCATGTTGGCTTCTTTGCTGTTCCTGGGACATTCTGGGCATGACCCTCATTTGGGGCCTTTACATTTGCTGTTCCTGGCCTAGAACGCTCCTGCCTTTGAGTCCCCTTGGCTTTTCTGTTCATCATGACTGTCAGGTCTGTCTCTTTGGTTTTCTTGG